CAATCGGGCCGAGGCCGAGGCTTTGGCATTGGCATGGTTCGACGAGGGCAGGCATGGCATGCGGGCAACGCCGTTCGGGTGGCATTGGCATGCGCGGCCGAGGCCGTGGCAAGGCATGCGGCGAGGGGCTCGTGGCATGGCATTGCGGGCCGGGGCCGTGGCACTGCATGTTGGCGGACGCGCGTAGCAAGGCATGCGGGCCGAAGGCGAGGCCGTTGGCATGGCATGTTGACCGAGGCCAAGGCATGGCATTGCCGCGGCAACGCCCGGTGGCATGGCATGCCTGCGGCCGAGGCCGTTGGCAAGGCATGCGGCCGAGGCCGTGGCATGGCCGACATGTTGGCGACGGCCGTAGGCAAGGCAATGCGGGCCGAGGTCGTGGCCATGGCATGACGGGCCGGGCCGTGGCATTAGCATGTTGGGCGACGCCGTAGCAGGCCTGCGGGCCGAGGCGTGGCATGGCAGTTGGGCGACGCCGTAGCAAGGCATGCGCGGCTGAGGCAGGCCGTGGCATGGCATGTTGACCGAGGCCAAGGCATGGCATTGCCGGGGCAAGCGGTGCATTGGCCAAGCGCAGACCGATGGCCGTGGCAAGGCATGCGGGCCGAGGCCGTGGCATTGGCGTGCCTGTTGGCCTTGCCTTGGCATGGCATGCACGCCGGGGCACCGCGGTGGCACGCATTGCTGGCGCCACGCCGTGACAAGGCATTGGCGCGGCCGGCGCCGGGCCGTGGCATGGCAAGTTGGCAAGGCAAGGCATGGCACGCTGCAGCAACGCCGCTGGGCATGGCATGCTGGCAACGCCGTGGCAAAGGAACGTGGCCAAAAAACCGGGCCGTGGCAAATGCATGTTGGCCGAGCAGTGGGCATGACGTGCTGGCCAAATCCGTGGCCTGGGCACGCTGGGCAACGCTTTGACACGGCGTGCTGGGCAAGCGTGGCCAAGGCATTGCAGCCACTGCAAGGCGTGGCTGCTGGCGAGGGCCGTGGCGTGGCTATGGCCTTGCCGAGGCCGTCGCGATGGCATGCTGGCCAACGCGTTCTGCATTGGAATGCTCGCCTAAGGCAGTGGGCCTTTGCATGTGGCCAAGCCAGGTGGCGTGGCACGCTAGCGAATGGCCAAGGCATGGCATGCGGGCAATCCATGGCTGGCCTGCGTGCCAAGGCTGCAGCCGTCGCGCAACTCGTCCCTGTCGTCAGCAATCCCCTTGGGCAACGTCTGAATTTTCGTCTCGCCGCGCATTGGGATTTCGTTTTTCGTGTCTCGGGCGCGCGCGCTGCGTGCTCGTCTCGGACCCTCCGCAGGGGGACAAAATCCGGAGGAAGGGACGAATCGGAAGCGACGCGGCTGAATCTCAGTGGATCGTGGCAAGCAAGGCCACTCTGCAGCTTAAATTTACACCCGTCGCGTAATTTAAGTCGTCCTGCACGAGGACTTTTTACCCGACACCGCTACGAGATAGGAATTGTACCTTCAAGGCGGCCCCGCGACGGCTCGTCCGCCGCGCCGGCTTCACAACGACACGTATGCCTTTGGGGCCGGACGGCCCCTTACTTGCGGTCGGCAGAGCGGGGCGGCGGAGCGCACGCGTCGCTTCTAGGCCCGGATTCTGACTTAGAGGCGTTCCAGTCATAATCCAGGCGCACGGTAGCTCGCGGCACTGGCTTCTTCAACCAAGCGCGATTGACCATTGTGCGGAATCAACGGTTCCTCTCGTTACTAGGTTGAAATTACTATTTGCCGACAGCTGTCATCAGTAGGGTAAAACTAACCTTGTCCTTCACGGGACGGTTCTAAATCCAGCTTCCGTTCCCTATTTGGTGGTGTGATACAATCCAACACTTGGTGAATTTCTGCTTCACCAATGATAGGAAGAGCCGACACGAAGGAGTTCAAAAAGCAACGTCCGCTATGAACGCTGGCTGCCACACAGCCGAGTTATCCCTGTGGTAACTTTTCCTCTGAGACACCTCTAGCTTCAAATTCCCGAAGGTCTAAAGCGATCGTGTAGGCCACAGCCTTTCACGTTCGTATGTCGTACTGGGAAATCAAGAATCAAACAGCTTATGTACCCCTTCCTCGTTCCACACAGAGATTTCTGGTTCTCGTTTGAAGCTCATCTTAGGACACTGCGTTCATTTCTTTTAAAGATGTGCCGCGCCCAGCCAAACTCTCCCACCTGACCCAATGTCTTCCGCCCGCATCGGGCCCGCCGAGGCGGGCCTTGGGTCCAAAAAGAGGGGCAAGTGCCCCGCTCCGATTCACGGAATAAGTAAAATAACTAAAGGTAGTTGGTATTTCACTTTTGCCGGTTCCGCTTCCCACTTATCCTACACCTCTCAAGTCATTTCACCAAGTCGGACTAGAGTCAAGCTCAACAGGGTCTTCTTTCCCCGCATGATTCTCCGAAGCCCGTTCCCTTGGCTGTGGTTTCGCTGGGGATAGTAGACAGGGACAGTGGGAATCTCGTGAATCCATTCATGCGCTCACTAATTAGATGACGAGGCATTTGCGCTACCTTAAGAGAGGTCGTATAGTTACATCCACGCCGTTTTACGCCGGCGGCTTGGTTGGAATTTCTTTCACTTTACCATTCACGGAGGCCATCTGGCAAGAAATCACATTGCAGTGGCATCCCGCAGGGGACCAATCGCACATCTTTTTTGCTACTATCCGATAGGGGAAGGGAAATAAACCTTACTCAAATATAATCCTGTTGATCAAGTCTGCGCTCCTCCAAACGTATGTCGCTACTCCTGAAAACCGACAAACGTGAGCTAGCCGGTGAGTGTGGCGGAAACCCCTCAGAATGCCTTAAGTCAGCGGGGAAATAGACAAAGACAAGAAGCTACTGTGTATCAAAGTTGTGTTGTTACCTCTCCAAGGTGATGTTTGTGGAGCTTTTTATAAGGTTTCGTGCCGCACACAAATCCAGGTAGGACTTTGTACTTCTCCATGCTGAGTCCCTCTTAGGATTTCATTACTATATGTCTGATATGTTAAATTGAAACTTTACAAATCCACTCCTTACATACACCGCCGACTTCCCCTCACCTTACTTGATACCACGTAACCGATAGAGTTGCATTGGGTTTTATACTCAATGGCCGCTAGCTCTTTATACTATGTTAGCCGCACAGCCTGAAAAGCGGAAGGACCGCCCACTAGTCGGCAAGGTAAGCGCCGCAGAATAAGGCTCCTCTAACACCTCAAGCTTCTTCCTTTCCACGTGTCTCTCTACATCAGCTTTCTCCTGCACATCCATGGCCGGTGTTAGCGCCGAGGCCGAGCACGCCAGTAGACATGCGGAATATCACCCCGCTCTCGCCGGCATCGACCGGTTTGGTAACTCCAAGACCGGTCTAATTCTTAAAGTACCGTTTAGACCGATCTAACTTCGATCTTCTGTCAGACCGGGGGACAGTACGCTTTCACGACCTTTCGGAGAGGACCGGGCGCAGACTATCACTTCAAAATATCCGGCCCCGACGGCCGACGGGACGACCGGAGTTAACTTTTCACATGGCTCCTACTTCAGCGGTGCGAGCTCCCGTGTACTGCCTACTGGTGGCGGCTCCAGCCCTCTGTAACGGGGCCCCAAATTCACCTTTAGTGCTCGCCCCGAAATTTTGCACATTTAAACAGGTACCTACCATATACTACTCGTTATATTTCTTCTTCAAAAAAACCTCTGAAACGATCTATCCAAGAACTATTGCTGCCTAACTGTATTTTGTCAACGTACCAATCGAGAATGTGGTGTGCTCTTTTGTCACACGACCGCTTTTTCTAAAGGAATCATCATTTACTTGGTATTGTACATACTCTCTAGAAAAAAATTAAAAAAAGACAAAAAAAAAAAAAAAAAAAAGAATCTAATTTAATTCTGCATTTATGTTGGATACACATGACCATTATTTATAAAGTTCAGAGTTAGGATCAGTCAGAACTGCAGCAAGGTCACCAACTCAACCGTATACGCGTAAAGACACGCCACGTATTATTTGTGCTCCACGATTTATTAGAGAGAGGCTTTCGCCGTTGGGTCCGTTGGGTGACGCATTCGAGACAACCACTCGCGACGTGCGGTGCTCATGCTTATCCACAGAGCTATAGCTCGCATAGCGTAACCATGATTCCGCTAAAAACCTTAACACAAAAAACAGAGGCTATGAGAAAGTCGCTTACGAAAATTTCCAATGATAAAGGAATGATCATTGGATGGGAACTGTAGGACAGGCATCTGGATTACTAACTCTGCAAACTGATATATAGATAACATTCTCTGCGAGGCCCCTACTCGCACTAGGGCGGATAACTCACATGCGAATTTTACTATATTTTGCGGTGCAAAAAATTGTCTCCCCTATAACTCTCTTTTTTTTTTCATTTTGTTTTTTTTGTTTAATTGCCGGAAATACAGTCCGTCCACCGTCCGCCCGAGCGGTTAATTATTACTTGTGGAGACAATTCTTGGTAACAACTCAAGCTCGGTGACTCAATAATTAGATCTCAAAGAATCACTTATCCGAGAATTAAAACACTGCCCATCACGCAGAGAAGGCAATGAGTCTCTAGCGTGACATGACGGGAGGAAAAACAAACCACCAGCAAGGTAGGAGCGTAAACAGTCCTTATCGGCAGTCTGAGGGATACCTTCTACGCACATAAAGATCTCCCATTATTCGCAAGAAACTACATAAATAAATTAAAAATAAACAATCCACCACAAACAAACATTACAATTACCTCCTGTTGTTTCTTCTGCCAAACTAGATAATCCTAGTAAGGCTACCCTGTAATCCCCAGCACTTCCTACCATTGTGTAGCAAAAAAAGTATAAAGCCATTGATAGTTCTGAATTAATGCAGCGATTGGGAAACCTCCCTAGTATATATTAAGTCCATCGCTTTTCATCAATGCAATCAGTCTCCATAGTCACAAGAATCATAGTCTTATAGTCTATAGTATGTTAAATAAAATTTCATCTTCCTCGTACGCTAAGCCCTGACTCGACGTACATCGACGAGAGAGGACACAATTTGTGCGCGCACCGAACCTCTCTGGCCGGCCCGCCTCCGCCCGGCTCCATGGTAATGAATAAGAAAGATAAAAAGAGAAGATTCACGGAGGAAGAAACGAAAGGGGGAGAGGTCTGCTCCGAGGACCCCAGCACATCAGGTCCTTTCTCCCTGCCGCGTAGAAGAGAGCACAGAGACGAGGCTAAGGGCGCTTTCTTGCCTAGCGTTTCTTATCAGTCTATATCATCCATGTTGCCAAGTGTTTATTTCCGTCAAACCTCTCTGTGATAAAGTTGTAAATGAGTACAGCCAACTGAGGCTAATTATGTTAGTTGAAATTAAAAATGATTACCAGAGTTTTTTCGATGATTTTTCACTTTTTTCTTACTTGTTGGAAGGAGTGCCAAAGAAAATTATATTATTTAAATTTTAAAAAAATAAATGAATCTCATAGTTTTAAGCATACTTTTGTGGTTATCTTCCTTCCAAAATCAAACAAAGAATATTATTTTTTTTTTACTTATTGTTTTTCTATTTTTAAAAAAAGCATTTGTTAAAATTTAGTACATTAATTTTAAATAACTTTCTCGATAAAATAGGTTGCTCAACAACTAATTTTGCTCATCAGTAACTTGTTTTTTTTATTTTTATTTTTTTAAAATAATTAAGTATGAGGAGTAAAATCTGGAATTCTACTCACATCTCTACCTCTCCTCAAAAATTGACAATTCTTTAACAAAATGATAAAAATTACACAATTTTAAAAATTCAACGAATATCAGTGCTAAAAGAGTCAAAAATTGTGAATGTGCCATTACAATTTTTTTTTTTTTTTATCTTTTTGGAAAAGGAGAAGTTCATAGTAATTTACCCTTATAACTTATTTTTGCGTTAATTAAACTTTTTAACAGTTTTTGTTTGAGTGATTTTCATATGTTGTCCTATGGGAAAGAAACACAACCCACACCCCCTAGATTTATTCATCCCAATGTTAACTTTACTATTTGGTTTTCTCTTGTTTTTGAAGCTATCATTTTGTTTTTTTTTTGCTAAAAATGGTTTGTTTTGGTTAACTTTTAAGGACAAATATGTAAAATTCATGCCCAGATTCTATACCAACTCCAAATTTTAGTTTTGAATTGTTATATTATTTGACAAACAATTATTTTTCTGAGATAAAATTCACTTCTTCCTTTTATTTTAAGAAAAGTATAAAATAAATAAGAAACTACTAAAATTAAAAATCCAAAGGAAGTGCAAGCGGAATGCAAGTGACTTACACAGTTATTACTTACGATTAATTTTTTTTTCTATTTATTTAATATTTCTCCTTTTATTTTATTCCATATACAATTTGGAGAACCAACTCCATGTAATTTTTAACATAAAAAAAATTGGAAGTGTAAGTGGAACATTACCAACTTGAAGAATATAATAAACTCAAAATTGCAAGGGACATATCATGTATTTTAGTTGACAATTAAGCACTTTTATTGTGAATAAAATAGGAGACTATTAGATCCACACTCTATACATACTATTATGTACGGGAGGAAATTAATTCTTCCTCGTATAATTCTGTGACCAAGTCCACGCTCCTCCGTTACGACGTCGCTTTGTCACCTGGAAAATACAAACGTCAGCTAGCCGGCGGGTCATGTGCCGGGGAAACCTGCTCCGAATGCCTAAAGTCAGTAAGCTGGACAAATTAGACAAAGTTTTATTGCTCTCAGTAAAGAATATATGTTCAATTACCTCCTCCAAGGTTGGTGCTTTGGGCTTTTATAAAAGTTTTCCGTGGCACAATCCAGGTAGGACTTGTATTTCTCCATGCAGAGTCCTCCTAGGATTCATACTCCTAAGGATAATGCTTATCCTTTTACACCCTCCCCCACTGCTTAAACCAAGTGGGATGGTTTCCTCCATGGCCGAACCACCATTTGACCGAAATAAAACTTGGCTATACTGAGCCACCGAGTGGACCGAACTCATTCATAGTTCGGTTCTTTTGTCTTCCCTTTCTTATCTCGGCTTTCCATGTAGAACCCATAGTACGGTTTTAGACCGAACCAACAACTTTCGACCGGTATAACCCCAAGACCGGCACAACTCCAAGTTGCTTTCGGACCGAAGTACCTCTATAGTTACTGTGCCGAAGTAACTTTGTCCCTCTTTATGCCGGAATTGCCTTGCCTCTCCTCGGCCGGAGTAACCCTGTCTCTCCTGGGCCGGAGTAACCTTGCGGCCTTTTCACCAAGTCCTTGGCACTTTGGGCCACGAAGCCTATCACATAGCTCGGCCCAATTTTTACCAAAAATTACCCTCTCAATTGCCCCTTAATTCCATCTGCATAGCATGATTGGGATTACCAGTCCACCAGCCGAGCTGGCGTTGTTTTAAGCTTTTCCAGCCGTGCTAAAAATACTTTAGCCTCTCCAGCCGAGCTAAAAATTCTCGAACTTTTAAGCCGAGCTAATTTTACTCCGGGCTCCATTTTGTCCGGTCAAAAACGTCTCTTCAATCATAGCGTCTGTAACGCTTCCCATTCCAGTGACACGTGGCAAGCTCTGATAAGCTGTGGCCAACTGTCACGCCGCCCTACAGAAATCTTGTACAGTTCCCGCCTCTTTCTGCCGCCTTTTTCTCTCTCCCCTTTCACAAAACAACCCTTCTTTTTCTCGGATCATTCACCTTCCATTCTTCATCTCCTCTCTCTGTGTTCTTGCCGTTCGTGTTCTTCCTTCACTCTTGAGAACTGATTCTGCTGCCATTTTCCCAACATCAGATCCCACTTCTTCCACCTGGTAAGTAGACTCACTTTGCTTCCTTTATTATGCTTTCGCATCTGTATAACTTGTTTTGTATGTTTTTTGCCAATACTTTCTTCCATTTGCTGCTTTTGCTTCCGTATTTTTGTGAAAAAACCAGTAGAACTTCATGTGTGTATGAACTTTTACGTAGAAAAACCAGTCTTAGATCCAAAATCACACAGCAACCGAACTAGGATCCTGTTTGCCCCAAATAGGTAGATCTCTGTAGTCCATAACCGAACTAGAACTTGAAAGTTTCAAAGGGTTACCAGAGCCCAACTCACTTTAGCCGAAATAAGATCACCAAGTTTTGAATATAGCAAACTAGGAACCTCGGTTATCAACCGAACTAAGCTTTTGGGGCCAAGCCGGCTTTCTTGGTTCCTAACCCGAACTCAGAAAGCCGCCCCTAGAGGCTTAACCGAAGTAACTCT